CAAACACTCCTATTTGTGGGTCATATATACCCTCATCTTGCCGTTGCGTACGGCCGCTCCGTCCTCGGCTAGCCTCAGCACGTAAAGGTCCATGTTGTACTCATGACCTCCTCGCAGGCTGAACCCAAAACCTTTGTTGTCCCTCTCCAAGTCCACTGAGTAGAATGCAGCGTCCTGAGAAAAAAACACACACGCAAACACACAACACACGACAAGGTCAGACTGGTGATTGAGTGGTGGCTGGACTTGATAATGTGTGTGTCTGGGGACAGCTCATATTTCAGTGTGGGGACGAATGCCACCTTGAGGAAAGTCGCACCTATTTGATCGGCGGTTTGAGGTGGGCCGAGAGGGCACACAGAGCCACAGACACTACAAGGACACAGCCATGGACACAGACTAACATCCTCCCTGCTCTGTTCAGGACCTTATCAATATGGTATCAGAATAAAGCATCTCCCTAGTGTGACAACCACTTAAAGGGAACACATTACTGTAGGGTGTGTGGTGGGCTGGATGGCGCTGGACAAGTCCTTACCTGGGCTGTAGGTTGTGTTGTTGGGGCGGGGGGAGGAGGGGCCTGGGGGGATTTGAACTCAAAAGAGGACTCCTGTTTTGGTTTGGTGTTGTTTCTGGAATGAGAAAGATGACAAAATATAGGTAAAAAATCATTGCTCATAGATGCATGTTCTTAGGCAATTAGGTACTCTAAATCTCAGAATCCCTCTCACCTGGGCTCAGGTGCAGCCTGTTGCTGGGGCGTGTGAGTGGTTGTTATAGTGGCGATCTTCTCAGCGTTGGTCAGCAGTGATGCATTAGAGGACTCTGATAGGAGAGAAAGAGAGAGCAGGGGAGTCAGGGGACTGGAGACTGAAGCATGCAGAAGACTAAAGGAGAAAAATTAACAATGAGTAGTTTCACAAAACCTTTCGTAAGCCACTATTAAATTGGTAATATATCATTTACTCAAACAGGGCCATATGGAAGCCTGGACCAAAGGGAGTGCTACACTCATGACTCTCATCTAATCACAGCACTCTAACTCAATATGACATCATTTGTGTGATCAATTACCTATGCTGGAATGTAAGCCTTAAGTAAACACGTAACAACTACCATCTCCCCACTCCAAACCACCCCCTAATTTCTTTCCAACAAACCTCTGTGGCCTACTTAGCCCCTGCTCTCGGCCCAACTACCACCCCTAGCCTAATCCTAGCCCCGCTCTCTATTCCACACACAACACCACAGGCTGTGCTCAATTCCTCTCTCATCTATCCATCACTCCCCCACTAGTCCCCTTGGATCCCATTGGCTTAACTCTCCATTCCGACCACGGCCCCTGAGACGCTGGGCCGGCCAATCAGGGTGGAGGCCGAGCTGAGGCCGGGCTGAGTGGGTTTATTTCCACCCTGCTGGGTAGTCATTGCTGGGGAGACCCGGGGTTTGAGTCGTCTCTCTGCCCATGAATCCCAATGTCTTAAAATAGACCTTCTCTCTTTTCCATCCCTCCACGCCGGTGTCAACTGCCTGCAGCCCAGGCTCCATCCTCACACACTCCATCCCTCTCTTTTCCTCCCTCAATTTCTGCATCTCTCATCCTGTCCTTCTTCTCTCCCACTGTCCTCTTTCTCTCATCCTGTCCTCCTTCTCTCCCACTGTCCTCTTTCTCTCATCCTGTCCTCCTCCTCTCCCACTGTCCTCTTTCTCTCATCCTGTCCTCCTTCTCTCCTACTGTCCTCTTTCTCTCATCCTGTCCTCCTTCTCTCCCACTGTCCTCTTTCTCTCATCCTGTCATCCTTCTCTCCCACTGTTATTTTTCTCTCATCCTGTCATCCTTCTCTCCCACTGTTCTTTTTCTCTCATCCTGTCCTCCTTCTCTCCCACTGTCCTCTTTCTCTCATCCTGTCCTCCTTCTCTCCCACTGTCCTCTTTCTCTCATCCTGTCCTCCTCCTCTCCCACTGTCCTCTTTCTCTCATCCTGTCCTCCTTCTTTCCTATTGTCCTCTTTCTCTCATCCTGTCCTCCTTCTCTCCCACTGTCCTCTTTCCATTGCTCTATCCCTTCTTCCCTCCCAGTCTTTCCACTTCAGTGCAGTTTGCAGCCTGTTTGTTTTTGTCCCTCTTGAAACATTCCGGACACAGGATGCAGAATGCACTGAACTGTATCACTGATCAGTCTCTCCCACTGTGAGAATGGAAGGGGAAAAGGACAATCTTAATGAAGAATTCATGGGGGGAAGAATTAAGCACTGCCTGCCTACCTAGGGGGCTGAGCAAGGGTCACACCATCTCTCCCTGGTTGCTTTTACACTACATCACAATGCAGACTAAATTAGGTGTGCTTTCTCCCTGATGACATTGCGCAGAGCCACAGGCCTGCCTGGCTAAAAGCCTGAGTAAAACAGTTGGCATCATGTATAATGAGAGAGAGAGAGAGAGAGAGTCGAGAGAAGAGAGAGAGGAGAGGAGAAGAGAGAGTGAAGAGATCTAAGCAGTGAAGAG